TGGAATCTGATACTCTTTAAAGTCCTTTTTTTTTTTTTTTTGTCTTTTGCCTTTTGTCTTTTTCCCTTCAGGGAAAAACTGAAGGTGGTGCGAAGAAGGGCGAAGCAGTGTGGTGTAGTAATAACAATGTGTCAATTCTCTTGGTTCTTCCACTTACAAGCTGTGCAACCTTGGGCAAGTTATTTCCTCACTAAGTATCCGGTTATGGTCTAGCTTTTCTAGGCCAGTGTTTCTCAAACTTGAATGTGCATCAAAATCACTTGGAGAGCTGATTGACGCAGATTGTCTGGGGAGGGGGAACGGTGCCTGAGAATGGATGCAGCAGCCCTTAGCTAGTGTCCCTGCTTTAGCTAGCAGTCCGGTTTTAGGATGGTCTGGAGAGAATGGCTAGCTGCTGTGTTCCATGATCCATCTATATGAATATGGCAGGAGGCTGAGTTGCAAGCTAGTTTAAGGAGCCACTTGATAACGACATTCCTGTGGTCAATGGTCAAGGAAGAGAATGTGCCTTTCTTCTGAATGAAAGCAGGTGATACTAGGAAGAGGTCCTCTATAATACTTTGTCTTTCAGGGTCCCATGGAATAAATGCATACACAGTAAGTAGCCTTTCTAACGTTATTGCAGTGCAAAAAGGCTTGTGTCTCTAAAATAGATATGTAATTGTTTCAACAAATCAATTGACAATACGGTATAATACACAATTTCTAAAAAATGACATAAATTGCAATTTAATATTTAAAAAATTATTTTGAATTGTGAGATTTTAATTTATTGAAATTAAATTACCAAGGAAAAAATAGAGAAGTAAAGGTATTTGCTCCAAGATAGAAAGCTAATAGAGCTATTGGAGCTATTAGGTATTGCAATGTCAAAATGTGGCTCCTGTGGCTAGGTTTCTATCTGCTATTCCTTTTTTTTACCTCTCACAATAGAGTATCAAGTGTACTAACAAGCAATTATAATAGCTAATACTGGTTGAGTGCTTACTGTGTGACAGGCACCATTCTGAGCATGTTATACTTAATAGTTTATTTAATCTTTTTTGTTTTATTATTTATTTATTTAATTTGTTAGTTTATAAGAATGTTTGGTTTTATATTTTTTTAAGTTTTATTTTATTTTTAATTAACAGAATAATTATATGCATTTATATGATGTTTATATGATACATGTATAAAATGTGTAATTGTCAAATTAGGGTAATTAGCATATCTATCACCTCAAATACTTATCATTTCTTTGGGAGAGAACATTTAAAATCCTCTCTTCTAGCTATTTTGAAATATACGATATACTATTGTTAACTATAGTCACCCTACCATGCATTGGAATGCTAGAATTCATTCCTCCTGTCTAACTGTAACTTTCTACCTGTTGACCAATGTGTCCCCATCCTCCCCTCTACCCCACCGTTCCCAGCCTCTGGCAACCACTATTTTACTTTTTACTTCTATGAGACAACGTTTTTAGATTCTGTGCATGAGTGAGATCATGTGGTATTTGTCTTTCTATGCCTTACTTAAGACAAAAAGTGACAAATGCTGGTGAGGATGTAGAGAAAGGGGAACTCTCCTACATTGTTGGTGGGAATGTAAATTAGTACAGCCATTATAGAAAATAGTATGGAGATTCCTCACAAATTAAAAATAGAACTAACATAAGATCCAGCAATCTAACTACTGCATATATATCCAAAGGAATTTAACTCAGTATGTTGAAGTACATCTGCACTCCCATGTTTATTGCAGCACTATTCACAATAACCAAGATATGGAATCGTCCTTAGTGTTCATCAACAGATGAACAGAAAGAAAATGTAGTTTACTTACACA